GTCTGATCATCAAGTCAAGATGAATCAATAACCTATGCGAGAGCCTGAAACTCTAGAACTATTAGATGAGGACATAGAAAACACTTCAAAGCACCAAAAGCACCAACCAGGACTTTTCTGGATAGGACCAGAAAAGCACAGGAAACCAAAGAGAAAGGTGACAAGTAGAATTGTATCAAACTAAAAAGCACCCGGACTCTGAAATTAAAGTATCAGCAGAAGGAAGAGAAGACCACAGAATGGAAGAAAACATCTGACAACTATTCCTCTTGGATACGGCTAATAGCTAGAAAATATTAAGGAACTCAAAAAAAAAAAACTAGTAGGAAATCACGAAATCCAATTTAAAAATAGGCAAAGGATATGAGTAGATGTCTCTTATGTGGGACAAATATGTGGGAGGGGGCTCAATATCCCTAGACATCAGGGAAATGTAAATCAAAATACAGGTGAGAAATCACCCCAATTACAATGGCTATCAATAAAAGAACCACTAACATAATATGGAAACACAAGGAATTTCCACATACTGTTGGTGGACATGTCAGTACAGTGTTAGAAAGAACAGTAAGAGGCATGGTTCTCAAAAGCTAAAGACAGAACTACCCTTTGACCCCTATGTCCCAACCCTAGAGAGATAACCAAAGGGAATGACATCGGTGTAGAAGTGATACTTTCTTCGCTAAGTTAACCACAGCACTGTTCTCAATAGATAGCTAAGATAGGGACCCAGCCTCGGAGCCCATCAACAAGTGATGATGGTAAAGCTAAAAGTTCCATTCAGATACATACACAATGGAGTGTTATCCAGTGGCTATGAAGGCTGGCAGTCTATCAATTGCAGTAGGATGGGGGAAAGTGAAGGACAGTTCGTTAAGGCACAATGGTAAGCATTTTATGGTCTCTCATTGTGGAAATTAAAATGTATCAACTGAACAGAAAGGACTGATCTAAGGACCGAGAAGAACATGTTGGCATACAGAAAATGAGAGGCTGGATTCTAACAGTGCACCGTGTATGCATACATGTAAATATCACATAGAATGCCATTGCTATGCAGAAGTAATGCCGGATAATAATTGTGATGACAGCCAATGGATAATCTGCCTCAGTTCCCCCCAAAGTAATCTTCTTTCGTGAGGTTGAACACAAACTGTTTTCCAAATACTCGAGTAAGCACAAGATCTGTAAACTATGCCCACACAGAAGCATGGGAACTGTTGACACCGCACTCCAGTTTCTCAGCAGTGCTTATGAGTTGAACAGCAGACCTCAGGGAGGGCGGCACCAGACACCTGCTTCCACATCAGCTTTCTGATTTCAGTGCCTCATTTAGGCCTAAAGCCCAGGCTCCTACATTCTAATGTTCCGAGTCCAGCAATCAAGTGTTCCTTTATCCCTCACAGATCCATGTCTAAGGTCTCCATGGAATGTCTGCCTCAGATGGTAGGAAGCGAATCAAATAGGAGAGGCCCACCCAATAGCCCTCTAGTGCACACTCTTAACTGTTGAGCCATTTCTTCCGTTCCAAAATGCAGCCCAGGCTGACCTCAAGGTCCTCCACCCCTGCCAGTTTGGCATGTTAGACCAAAAAGCACCACCACAACTGACTTTAATTCTAATGTTCTAATTTCAACGTTAATTTGAATCTCTATGTAATTCCCTTGTGTGGTTGGGAAAGATAATAGTGGCATGGATGTAAACAGTTCACACAGCTTTCATTCAGTTCTTTTCCTTACCACACCCAGATGGCCCAAAGCTTCCTATCTGCAGACATTCTCATGCGGGAGACCCAAGCAGAGGCTTGGGGGGGGGGGCGAGACCTGAGAGCTTTTAAGAACAGTTGCTGCTGCTGAGTAATGGGGACGATGATGGCAGTGGTGACAGCGGTTAGCCTTCATTCAGTGCGCATCGCAGACCCTCTTCTGAGCACTTGACATACAGTCTAACAGAATTCACTAGAACTCAATGACGGAGACACAGTTAGGCAGCGTCCTGCCGAGGGACATGAATATGAGCTTACATGAGGCTACAGAAACAGCAGAGGGTTGAGCTGGAGTCCATCTTTCTGGCTCTTGGGTTTGCAGAATGGCAACACATACCACCTGTTCTTCAACCACCTCCTGGGCAGGCCATGTCCCTGCCCTCTTCCTCCTTAACCAACACGCTGAGGAACAGTTCCCTTTGTCTATGGACTGCTCTCCCCTCACTCCTTCTCCCCCCTCTCCTCCTCTCCTGCCTCTCTTTCTGGCAGGAGCACGCCTCTTCTAGGGTCTGGGTGCAATTTACAAAGAGCTGGAGACTAGCTTTTGCCTTGGTGGGGCCATGGCTAAATCTGGAGAAACAGTCAAGGTTCTAGTTCCAAACCTCTATATCTTGTATATAAATACACACAAAGTAAGAAATAAGAGAAAATAATTTATTGTTCCATTTCACAAAACTGAGCAATCAAATTCCTCCCCCAATGTGAACATGGGTGTCTAAATGTTCTTAATGCTATCTTTAGCCCTTTAAAAGCTCTCGGCACGGTATCTTGACGCTTCCTGCTTTTACCGTATGAGTAGTCGGGGCAGGAAGTCACCTTTCCCACGTTATTCTTTCCTTGTTAACGCGTTTGAAAGACATTTGATTCTCCAAATTGCCAAATATGCCCTTATTGGCTTAGTTGCTTTCCAAATAACACTGGGACATTCTGAAGCACGCACACAAATACTTGAATACATTAAAATACTCCCCATATGAAGAGAGCACAGTACAAGATACGATGTTTTCTGAAGCCATTACACATAGCATTTCATGTAAAAAAAAATGAAATTTATGTAAACATATACAGAGAAAACAGAGGGGAAGAAGGATAGGGATAAACAGGCAAATTGACACATCAGATAATTACTTTAAAAACAATCATCATAGCTGATAACTTTATATCTGAAAGTGACAAAATGGGAAACCATTAATTTCTTGTTTTTCCCTTTAGGGATTTTCTATATTGTTTTAGAATTCCTTTCATTAAAGAAGAGAAAACATATCATCCTTTCCCTAGGAATAACTATCTCCTAGGGTGGAGAGATGCTCAGTAAAGAACGTGTACTGCTCTTTCAGAGATCCAAGTCCGGGTCCCAGGACCCAAATTTGGCAGCTGTAACACCAGCTCCAAGACGAGCGCTTTGCTTCTGGTCTCCATTGGCCCCTGCGCTCGCGTGTATACACCACCCCCAACACATAATTAAAGACAAATGGATCTTTTTAAAGCAGAACGAGCATCTGCGGAGTAGCAGTGTTATTCCGGGGGTGCTAGTCATTCTGATTGTAGTTCCACACCAACCCTCGGGCCAGCAGAGCTGCATGTTCAAATCACTGGTGAGGAAACTGAGGCGAAAGGTAGTATCTTAGAGCCAGACAGCTGCGTGCGCAGGTCCCTGTCTGAACGGATGAGCTGCCAGCTCAGACACTTCTGGGTCAGGGCCCTGCTGCAGCACATGGCTCGGGGATGCTCTTTGTTTAAACTGCTTCGTTCTTCTGCAGCCTCAGCATCAAGTTCACCTCCCCCACAACGCCCCGTGTGCTCCAGATTTGGTCCCCAGAGTATCACTTTTGGGAACTTTAACAGGTGAGGCCTGATGGGAGGATTTTTAGGTCATCGGTTTTGTCTTTGGAGGGGATCACAGGATCCCCATCCTCAGGCCCCTTTGCTTTCTGGTGATGGAAGGAGGCGTGGTAGACCAGCACCACGTGTTCCTGCCGCTGTCTGATCTCTCAGCAAAGGCCAGTCAGTCAGGATCTGGGGCCTCCAAAACTGTGAGCCCAAATAATCCTTTTTACTTTATAAGCTGATTATCTTGGATATTTCTTATAGTAACAACAAAAAACTAACAAAACGTTCTTTGAACTGGGGCCAGTCTTGACCTTATGGCGAGCAGGTAGGCCATTCAACTCTCCTAGGGGCTTAGATTAAAAGTTTTCCCAGAAGCAAAATATTCCAGTACAAAACAACACCTCAGGTCACAGAGCAACAAAGGCCATTACTAATGTGAAGGCTTCCGGAATCAGTAACACTGATAGTCAAGGGGCTGAGTGTGTGTGTGTGATGAAAACCTTTGGACTCTAATCTCTCAGTATAATATAGTATCAGGAACTATAGTTTCTATGCTGTAAATTAACGCCCCACAAATCTTGCTTTGTTTGTTTTCTTTAGTTTTGCTTGAGAAAGTCTCATGTAATCCAGGCTTCCTGAACCTGCTTTGTAGTGGAAGATGACCTTCAGCTTCTGAGATCCCAATTGCTGGAATTATGGTTGTGCACCACCATACCTGGTTTATGTGGTATTGGGGATGGAACCCAGGGCTTTGTACATTCTTGGTCAGCAACTCTACTGACTAAGCTATGTTGCTTCTGTGACCACGTTGTTCAAAAGCTAATGGTAGTTCATGATTTAGATTTTCTCAATCATTGGCTTATTATCCATTTCTGGTTTTGTTTTTTATTGTATTATCTTACTATTAGGGACTCTTTCTTGTTCTCTTGCTTTCTCCCCCCCCCCACATGCACACATGGTTTTCTGTACTATATTTGGTGGTTAGGTCATTTCACACACCTGAAATATTGTTTTTCAAAATCTCCTGACTTCATGAGCCAAAGTTTGCAGATTTTGGTTTAGGTTTCCCCATTCCTTCCTTGAAATGTTTTATGTATCAACATTTTTATACATACATACACACACACGCATACATACAAGACAACCAATGAGGACTTCTGACCTCAATACACACAAGCACATAGATACACACACAAGTGTACACACCCACACAAACATGTACACACAAAACCTCAAACTTTGTGACTCTTATAAATTTAAAATAAAGCATTACAAAAATAATTCCCTCTAGTCTTGCATTAAATAAGAAAGGTAAGAATAAAGAAAACAGAGAAAGGATCAGCAAAGAAAGGACGTAACTGGCCATTTGTTTTCATCAAAGTTGAAAGTCATGTGGTCATCCTACCTGATCCTGGATGAGTGTGTGGAAGTTCAGCTCCTCCTCAAACCTGAAGACCCATAGCTCTGCTTGGCTTGCTGACCAGTACGACCCAGGGCTCTTCCTGTTTCCTCCTGCCTAACACACACAAGCACTGGGGTTACACATGTGCCTTCAGTTTCTCGATAAAGAGAAAGAGATACAGAGAAAAAGCTTAGCTTGTGTGGTGCTTTGAATAAAAATGGCCCCCATAGGTCAATAGGGAGTGGGACTATTAGAAGGTGTGGCTTTGATGAAGGATGTGGGTCACTGATGAAGGATGTGAAGTCTCAGATGTTCAAGCCAGGACTGGTGTTTCAGTCTCTTCCTGCTGTCAGCACATCTAACTGTAGAACTCTCAGCTACCTCTTTAGCACCATATCCGCCTGCCTGCTGCCATGCTTTCTGCCATGATGATAATGGACAAAGCCTCTGAAACTGTAAGCCAGCCCCAATTAAATGTTTCCCTTTATAAGAGTTGCCATGGTCATGGCGTCTCTTCACAGCAATAAGACTCTAACTAAGACATCCTTGCTCAAGGGTTTAGAGATCCAGTATGCCTGTGACAAGGCTGCCCATTGCAGTAGAAGTGCGTAGCTGCACAGATCAGCTTACCTCAAAGTCAGAACTTAAAAGGTAGGGTCTCATTATTCCTTTTATGGGCACATCTCCGGGGACCTGAGGACTTCCCATAAGTCTCCATGTCTTGTATGTTCCCCCCACATCTCAATAGTGCCACAGCCTCTCGATAGTGCCACAGCCTGGGGCACCATACCTTTAATACATGGTTCTTTGATGAAAAATTATTCAACCCCATTTCCCAATCATTCATAAATCCACAGGTATTCTCCGAGCTCTTACATGTAATAGGTTCACATGGCTGTGCCGTGAGACTAGTAGAGATGTAAGCCAAGGTACACAACAGTGAGGACATGCCACAGAGGCTCATTCAGAGATAGTGCCATCCTGACGTAGATAGCAGGTGGGGTGGAAACCCGGGGAGGGGGATGCACTGAGGTTGCAGGGTAGCTGGGACTGGAAATCATGATGGAACAAGAATGAGAGACGATAGGAAGTCCCTGGGAAAACAAATATAAAAATAAGGATGTGGGAATGAGATCCTCAGGTCACTAGGATGAAGGGCAGTGAACCACCTAGGTCAGAATGGGGCTAGTGGATCCCTCAATGCAGTGAAGCAGTTGGGCTGCAGGGAGGATGAACAGGACCATGATCACAAAGCAGAGCCATGACACAGCTCACACTATCCAAAGGCACCTCCTAAAAATATGTTTGGAGAACTGAGGCATTTCCATTTTTCTACTTCTAAAATAAAATAGACCTGCCTTGTTTACTCAGGTTTAAAATAAATCAAAAAGAAATTGACTGGCTTATAGGTTTTTCAAACATTCCAGACCTTTGTTTATACAGGAAAGGATTTTTTTCCAAAGGTCAAATTTCTCCTGCTGTAATCACCTTTATATATCTAAGTTCAGTATTATTCTAGTTCCATAAACAAGCTTAAAATAGGAGTTGATAATACCATCAGATTGAACAGGGGAAGGGCTTCACATTGTTCCATATCTACAGCCAAATGCACTTTTTTCAGGCAAGGTCTGTGGTTTGGGACATACAATTTGGATAAGGTTTTGCATTTTGTGGAATGGGTTTAAACAACTCACCATGGATGTCTCCAACCCTGTTTTTCCTTAAACTCAAAACTGAAATAAGATATATGGAATAACAAATGGATTTTATCATTATGACACAGAGGTGGGAAAATATATTTTTATTAAAAGGCAGATATGATAATTTGCCAAGTATATGGTAAAATTATAATCTAATAATTCTTATATATAAATGCTTGTGATTGTATTGGAAGAAGTTTATCTTACTGTTCTTGTTCTCTGTGGAATATTACTTAGGTGCCAGAGGATGTAAAACATAAACTCTTTGGCTTGCTTGGCACTCCCTTTCACTGCCAGGTTGATTTATCCTGCCACTGCTGCTGATTCCTTCACTGATACAGAGCCAGTCTTTCCAGGCTGCCATCCTTGATGAAGGACCAGCAGCTCTCCAAGACCCCTCCAGATTTAGAAGACAGATTGGGACTACTGAGGAAGTTAGCCACGTGAACTGAGCAACTATGTATTGTCAGCATCTTCACTGTGAAGACAGCACTGTGGAACTCTGGCTGCTGAGGCACCGAGTCTCGAGGACTAAGCAACTACTGTATTCTTCGCCTCTTAGGTGTGAGACAGATGTTTATATTTCAAAGTAATCTGAACACACACATGCTCATCATATTGATTCTATTTTTTCTAGAAACCCTAATTTAAATTGTATTCATGTGTGTGTGTGTGTGTGTGTGTGTGTGTGTGTGTGTGTGTGTGCATGTGAAGGTCAAAGCACAACCTTGAGTATTGCCTTCCATCTTGTTTGAGAATAGTCTCTTGTTTTGCTGTTGTGGATGCCAAGCTAGCTATCCCACCAGCCTCTGGAGGACCACTGGCATTACAGATGTACTTCCATATGCTCAGTTCTATATGGGCTCTGAAGATTCTAATTTGGGTGCTCACATCTGTGTGACAAGTATTTTACCCTCTGAGACATTTCCCAGCCCCAAATGCTAGTTTTTGATTGAAGAAAGAGTAGTTGGTCATTATCACCTGAAGCTTCTGCTCTTTATTTTTCAAAACAATAAAATGAAGACGAGGGATAGTTGAAGCATCCTTTCTATTTTGAAAAACAATATTATGACTGGCATCTTTCTTGACAGTCAAGAGATATAGTGAACTCTTTTCTCTTTTCCATCTAGATACCCAAAGAAGGTTCTTGTCTTTACCTACAAGGAGAAGAAGGAGGAAGAAGAGGAGGAAGAGGGAGAAAGAGGGAGAGGGAGGAGGAGAAGGAATAAGAAGAGGAGGAGAAGAAGAAAAGGAAGAGGAAAAAGAAGAGATTTTACCTCAATAAAGGAACCAGCAGGATTTTTTTCATAAACATAACCAGGAAGTTCCTTAAACCCTGAGGTAAATTCAACTATTGCAGTTACCCAGGAAAATCAAATGAACTACTGGATTTTTGTTTTGTGGGGTTTTTGTTTGTTTTGTTCTTTGAGACAAGGTCTCACACTGCAGCACTGGATAACCTAGAACTTACTATGTAAAGCAACCTGCTTTGAACTCAGATAGATTCACTTGCCTCTGCTTCCTGAGTGCTGGGACTAAGCGTCTGTGCCATCCCAGCCAGCCAAGACCCAAGTCCACACTGCAAAGCTGAATGACTGGACTGTTTCTATTTCAAACAGTATTATTGTACATTCCTATGTGAGTTCCTTTTTTGTTTCAGGAATGTTCTCCAAGCTCATATGTCCAACCATGGAATGCACTTTGTTCTTGGAACCACTGTATGCCAAGATTACATCCCTCGATTATTAGCTCTACAACTTCCAATCTAATTCTTACCATACTTGAAAGTTGAACATTTATTTTCTCCATGAAATTGCCTAAAATATCACTTTCATTTCACCCACAAACCACATCCTTGTAAGAGTTTCACAGCATTTATCATGTGTATTGGCTTCTTGACTACATTTTAGTGTCTATTTTCTTGCTCCAACTTGTCTACTTGGTTTCGAGTAGAGAAACCTTGATAGTAAATGGAATTTCAGTTTTTTGAGCTTTCCAGTTGTGCCTGGTATATTGTTCGGGTCACAAGAGATGGCAAAAGGTACTTTTTGATTAATGAAAAGTCGCAAATCCAACACAGTGCCTGTAGAATTATCATGGCCAGGATACTTCTATCTCTAATTGTCATTTATTGTCCTACAATCATCTAATGGCACAGAACTTATTAATTCATCCCATTCATTTCTACCAGCATGCAAGGCATCTGGAAGAGAATGGGTAATCAATGGAATGGCCCCATATCTCCTAGTGACTGTGACACACTGCTTTCTTCTCTTCAAGGCAAAATTATAAATGTGATGTTGTATTCCACAGACCTAAAATCAACATCGAAAATTAAACCTTCTAACCAAAATAGCATACCATTGATTTGACTTTGGGTTAATATTAGTAATGACTTAATGATGTGGTTCCTGTATATGTACAAGCAGACTTAAGAACCTTCATAGATGTTCTATAAGATATGAAAATATGTTTTGTTCTTCATCACCTATTACTGCTTGAGGAAAATGATGTTCTTAACCAGTTATTACCAAAGCTACGTTGTGGCTGCATTTAATAGTGTATGGACCACTGGACACAGTATAGTTGTGTAAGACTATGCTATCTTCTAGAATGTTGTGGTAGAGTGAGCAGCTGGAGGGGGTTCACAATATTTACTGTACAGTTGATATAATGACTTTAACACACTTGTTGAGATTTGGTGCTCAACAATCTCTCGGAAATAGATCGGTGTTGCCAGGAGTGATTGTGTCTTGCTACCACGGAATTCTAAGTTAGATTAAATGCCATTTTTTACAGTTCTTTGAAGAGGTTGAAGATTATCTATTCATACAGAATTAATCTTTGTGTATCTAAAAAGCACAATTAGCCTAACTATAAATATGACAAACATAGATGACTATTAATCTATAATTCTTAATACCTATCTAACTTAAAGACTAAGCCAATAAACAACTGTGCAATAAATGAGGACAATGACCTCCAAATGTAAATAACGTACAAGTATCTTGATCAGAGGTAGAAATGTACACTGAAATATGGTAAATATATATATACATATATATATATACATTAAAAATGTTTTAAACAGAGGTAGAAGCATGCATGCAATATTCAATATAATTTAACTTTTTATCCATATACAAGAATCTATGCCAATGTAATTGTTTATAAACAATAACTCACAAATAGCAATTTCCTTCTTATAAAAAAAATCCCTGAGCTTATAAAATTCCTCCCCCAACCCTCAACCATATACAAATTATAATCAACCCCTAAATGATGTCCCTAAACCTGAGGACAGACTTTGCTGCGAGAGGGGACATTGTCCTCTAGAATTATTTCCAGCTGTCATGGGGGTGACGTTCTTTCTAGGGGATACTGTGAAAGCAAAATGATGGTTAAATTTCAAGA